AGCCTTTGGTAACCACCATTCTATTTGCTGTTGTTATAAAGCTGACTTGGGGTGGGGGTGGAGGAGGCATCTTAAGACAGTGTGGAAAATTGTCCATCATTTCTCAGGATTCTGTCCTTAGTTGTCTGATGAACGGTGTCTTGAAAATCACTGTTTCAGGTGGGGTGGTAAATCTAGTTTCTGTTATTCCATCTGCCCCTCCCTCCCTCCAGAATTTAAGTGTCTTGCCAATAATAAGCTGCCTAAGAAATTCTAGCCCAGCCTCACATTGTAATTCCTGGGTCTCCCTGCTCATCAGAACAGCCCCTTTTGTGGCTTTCATATTTTGCTCCAGTTACTGTTCTCTTCCTCTCCTTCTGGATCATAAGGGAACAATAAGAACTGATGCCAACAAATGAGACAATTTAGAGGAAATAGACAAATCCTAGAAAGACACAAATTACCAAAACTGACTCAAGAGAAACGGAATATCCAGGTAGATAGTAATATTCAAGAAGTAAAGAAATAGGATTAGTAATTTAAAATCGTCCACATGTAACTATAAGAGAGCTGGAATGGCTACACTAGCATCAGATCAAGTAAGTCTTTTAAGACAAAATTGTTACTGAAGATAAAGAGGGACATTTTATCTCAGTCAATCCATCAGGAAAATATAAGTTATAAACATACAGAAAGTGAAGAGAGAAACCCACAGGCTGGAAGAAACTCTTTGCAAGCATTTATCTGATAAAGGACTTGTATCCACAACACATAAAGAACTCTCAAAAGTCAACAATAAAAAAACAACCTAATTTTAAAATGGGCAAAAGATCTGAACAGACACTTCACCAAAGAAGACACCCAGATGGTAAACAAACACACAAAAAGATGCTCAACATAATTAAGAAAATGCAAATCAAACCCACAATGAGATATCAGAATAGTAGAATAGCTATAATAAAAAGATAACAAGAGAAACTGGAACTCACATACATTGCTGGTAGGAATGTAAAATGGTATGGCTACTTGTGAAAACCAGTGACTGTTTCTCAAAATGTTAAAGAGTTACAATATGAGCCACTCCTAGGTATCTACTCAAAGGATAGGAAAACATTCATCCACACAAAACTTGTACATGAATGTTCAAAGCAGCCAAAATGTGGAAACAACCTAAATGTCTTTAAACCAGTGCACGCATAAACAAGAGAGGAAATGTAATGCTGATGGGTATTACGATATAGGTGAACTTTTAAAAAATTATGCCAAGTGAAAGCAGCCAGTCACAAAAGGCCACATATTTTATGATTCCACTTATATGAAATGTCCAGAACAGGCAAATCTATAGAGACAGAAAGTTAAAGATTAGTGGTTACCTCAGGCAGGGGGGAGAGGGAAGGGAATGACTGCTGATGGGTACAAGGTTTCTTTAGGGATAATAAATGTCCTAAAATTGGACTATGGTGATGGTTATACCCCTTAGTACGTACACTAAAACCACTGAATTATACACTTTAGGTGGAAGAACTTGCTGGTATATACATTCTATCTCCATAAACCTATTGTTTCTTAAAAACAAAACAAAACCCTTAATACTTTTGGGGGTGGGGTGGTAAAAGCAGCTGTAAAAAACAAAACCAAACAGAATTATCTGCAAATCATATGACTGAAAGAATTTGTATCTAGAATACTTAAAGAAGTTACAATTCCATGTAAGACAAACAACCCAATTTTAAAATGGGCAAAATGGGTTTGAACAGACATTTCACCAAAGAAAAATCACGTGGCCAATAATCACATGAAAAGATGCTTAATAGTTTTCAACATCCTATTCCCAGTTATCAGGGAAATGCAGTCAAAGCGCCGACAAAGCATTTCACACCCTAGTCCCAGAATGGTTATAATAAAGACAGTTAATAATGTGTTTTAAAAAGCTCGTACCTGCTACTGAGCTGTATTCTTAAAAAGTATTAAAATGGTAAATTTCATTTTATGTATATTTTACCACAAAAAATGTACTTACCAGTAGTTATAAGAAAAAAAAAGGGAACAAAGCATGAAAAAAACCAACAAAAAATTTTCCCATAAAGAAAAGCCAGACTTTAGAAGACTTCACTGGTGAATTCTACCATATATTTATATAAACTTGTGATATTTCTTCTTTAATTGTTTTCAGAAAACAGGCGAAAACATTTCCAAACTTATTCAATGAGGGCAATTTAAATGTATCATTTAAGTCATCACAATTTACTTTTCTGCAGAAAATGTATTAATTATTAGAGTATAAAAGACATAAGGCACTGGACCAAAGCCCTAACAACTGGGTTCCAATCCTGAATTTGTTACCAATGAGTTGTGTAATCTTTATCAGGTTACCTCATCTTGTTGAGCTTCAATTTCCTCATTTGTAAAATAAGGAAGTTCACCAGAGAAATCTTTTCCATTGACAGAATTCTATTATACATTTATAGCATAAAATTTTGTTTAAAACCTGCATGATCCTAAATTGGTATAACCTGTCTGCAAAACAACATAGCAATACGTAGTAAAAGCCAGTTCACATACTCTGGCGAAGTATTTCAAGTTCTGGATATTTAACTTGTATAATTCAACCAAAGCAAAAGAACACATAAAAAGATGGTTACTTTAAACAATCCACATGTCCAACAAGAGTGGAATACCAAATTACTAAACGTTAGTATGAAGATGATTGTGGAAAAAAAATTTTTGTTAGATGAATATAATCAGAATATAAATGATTTAAACTATGAAAATGTACACAGCATATAAATATATGCCAAACAAAAGGTCATACATACTAATGAAAGTACAAATAACGTTTTTTAGTTTTAATGTTGACAGGATGCTACAGGAACTTAACTCTTGTTTACATCATTAGCCTATGGTAAACCTGGCTTCGTTACATGTCATTTCACTTAAAGTCGCAAAACTTATTGACATTAAATGAGGACTTACTGTAGTATTAGGGTTGTAGGTCTAAAGATTTTTTAAAAATTACCAAGTCTTGCCCGGCTGGGCGTGGCTCAGCAGTTGAGCATCGACCTAGGATCCAGGAGATTGGGGTTCGATTCCTGGTCAGGGCACATGCCCCGGTTGCGGGCGAGGCAGTCAATCAATGACTCTCTCATCATTGATGTTTCTCTCTCTCTCTCCCCCCTTCTTTTCCTCCCTCTGAAATTAATAAAGATATGTTTAAAAAAAAAAAAATTACCAAGTCTTTGGAAATGCTGATATATAGGCAAAGAGAAAAAATTCAAAACTTGTCCAAAGGATAGCAATACAAAATATCAAGATTATGTGATAAGGTTCTAAGTTGCTCTGACTTTAATGCTTCCCAAGAGTCATTATGAATGCAGGAAGTGTCAGTGACTGGAACTTTGATCCGCTGATACTGGAATTACCAACAGTGCTGCACTTGCTCTGCTCAGCGCTGAGATAAGCCTGTGACTCTGCTAAGTTCCTATTAAAATCCAGATACAATACTGACTAGTTCAAATTCCTTATGCCTATTTCATTTCTCACCATCACTGCCTTTCAAATGCTCAATCCAGAAGTTCTTACGTGACCCTTATTTTTAAGTGTGTCAGCCACCAAACTATTTGAGTCATACAACCACTAAGGCCCCTTTCAAGGAAGGGCAGTGGAAAGGGGGAGTAAGCGTCCAGCTTCCTATTTCCGTGGCTGCCTGCTAGGATGGATTTCAAGGGGATCCAGGCTCAGCATTCCCAAGGTCAGCAGAGGAAATACTCGGTCAATGCTAATGCCCATAATTCTAATAACAGGCTGAGCCATAAATTATTTCTACAGGTCAAAAAAGGTGACTACAGGCAATTTCATATGGTTCAACCCATAGCCAATGCTTCTATATGAAGAAAAACTTTGTTGCCTTTGAGACTGTAGAATCACTGTCAAGGATTCTCCCCTTAGCCTTCCCTATGAGTGTGCTTGTACAAGTCATTATTTTCAGAACCAGAATTTAAGCAATTTGTGTTTGCATTAAAATTCCAAAGTCATATAAGCAAAACCAAGGTGTGATTTAACAGCAGCCAAGTTAAAGAAGTATCAGAATAACCCATTCTAACTCAATTCCTGTCCATCATGTTTCTCTTTACAGAGCAGTAAGCTTTGGTGCTAACACTTTCAGAGCAGCGCTTCTTCTGCCTCCCACTGAAATTAGTCCCATCTTGACAGCATCTTACCTGAAACTTCCATAGACTATCAGTAGAATGGAAATCAGAAATGTAGACACTTGACTGGAATCCACCAGGGAATAGGCCCTAGAGAAATAAGAGGGAAAAAATTAAATCACATGGCTGCAAGTCCTCACGGAATTTACAGTCTAATGAAGATCCACAAACCCCACTAAGTTTTTATTTCATCTTGAATATTAAAAAAGGTATAAATTAGCATTAACAAAATAACATAATTAAAATGAGATATGCTAGTTTTCAGTTATTAATAGTTAATATTCACAAGACATTGAATTATATTAATGTAAAAATCCGATTGTTGTATGACATACAATACATGCTTATAACATCCATACCCAATTTAAAAAGTACCATAATATCTACCTACTCTGTACCAATGATAAAAAGTCTCAGTGATTAAAATTTTTATCAGTTTACACTTGGATTACCAATAGTATTTTACTGGTTTTACTTAGTGGTAAGGTAAAGCCTGTATCTCTCTCCTAAATTCTATTTCCATTTTTATAACTGTTTACTGGTTCTCTCTATCTGGGGGTCCCACAGGGAGTTCTTCAAAGTCAACGGGTCCAAAACTAAAGTCATTGTTCTTTCTTTCATACCTTGTCCTCTCAAGGAATGGTATCACAATCCCCTCAGTTGTCAAAGCTAGAAAGCTGTTGCATTTTTGACACTCCTTCTCTTATCTCCCACATGTAACGACAGTGAGTTGTGCAACTTCCACACCCCCAACTCCCCTACTTCTCTCAGTCCTACTGCCAATTCCTTAGCTTCCTACCATGGCTTGAGTATCAGAAATCTTGTTTGCAAGTCTGTATCCAGGAGTTCATCCTCCACACTACCCATTCTTGTTTTGTTAGGAATTTTCCTAAATAAATTTGTTCCTTTTTTCATTTCAGCAAATATTTAATGATGCCTCTGTGCCAACACTCTGCTAACCACTAGGGATATAACAACAAATAAGATTGTCTTGGTTCCACCCTGAATGTCTTTTCTAAAGAAATAAAAAGATAAATTTCATTCTAAGGAATTAAAAAACAAAAAGTTAACCTAAGCAAGTAAATATAATCATGGGAAATGTTTTAAAGGGGAGAAAGACAAGTACAGGATACTATGAGAAAGTATAAGTAGACCCTATCCAAGAACTGGGGGGAGGGGGGTGCTTTCCTTAAGGAAGCAGATGAATGAGAGACACAGTAAGTAGGACTTGGTGACTGTCAGTGGGAGCTAGGAGAGGATTCCCCAGCTTCTGCTTAACAGCTCATGGATGGCTGTACCATTTAGCAAAAAAGGCGACACAGGAGGAGCAGGTTATAAATGAGGTTTTAGATGGGTGAGACAGTTGGATACCTGGGCCTAGAGACCAGAAGCAGCTCAGAGCTGTACGCTACATGCTGGGCGCTCCCCACCTTCTCCGTGCTGACCGAAGCCACAGGTTCAGGGAAGACTGCCCAGCAGCAAGGTGAGAAGAGGATCCAGGATAAAGCCCTAAGAAACCTCCAGAACTTAAAAGTCAGGCAGAAGGAGGAGCTGCAAAGAAAACCAGTGAAACAGAGAAAGAGGAGGAAAGCCAGGGACGGCAGGGCGAGTGAGAGGGTCAGGGCAGTGGGGTTGGACAGAGTCTACGTTTCAACCCTGACCTCACCTGTAGCTGGAACCAGCGGCCCAGCAGCTCTAAGCGCCAGCTTCAGCTGTAAGATGGGGGTAATGACACCTAGTCCAAGAGCTGCCAGGAGAAGGAAATGAAATAATTCACAGAATGAGCCGAGCACTGTGTGCTCAGCACCCACTGCTCGTGGGCAGGCGAGGTCACCATGCTGGAGACTGCTGAGAGGTCAAGTGAGAGGAGGACTAGTGTCCCCTGATTTACTCACTGTGCACGTCCCTGGCGACTTGAGCAAAAGCAGTCTTAGTGAAGGGGTGGGGGTGGGATGGGAGTCAGACTGGAACTGGCTGGGGAGTTAAAGCTAAGGAAATGGAGACAGACAGGTGTTTGAAAAGTACAGGGAATGGAATCACAGTTGGAGGGGAATGTATGGATGAGGGAGGGCTTCCATTTTTTGAAACACAGGAGATAACCCCTTTTTTGTATGCTGACCAAAAATTATCCCAGTGAAGTGGGAAAAACTAATGAATAGAGAGAGAAGTTTCCTTTAATCTGTCTAAAAAACAGGACACATAAGAAGGTGTTGTGGACTATAATGTCATTTTTTAATCTTTAGTAATTGGAGATATAGAACAAGTATTTATGGGTGAAATGATATAATTTAAAGTTTGCTTTAAAATATTCTGAGAGGGAGGGAGGAGGGACAGATGTAAATTTTTAAAAAAGGCAAAATTGTTTTTAATTACTAAATCTGGAAATACAGGTGCATGGGAGTTCATTATACTCTTCTCTCTCTTTGTATTTTGAAAACTTACATATAAAAAGGTTTTAAAAAGGCAAAAACTCACCCGAGTTTTTGTTGTTTTTTAAATTTTTATTTTAGAGAGAGAGAAACATCAATTGGTTGCCTGGGGATCAAACTGGCAACCTAGGCATGTGCCCTGAGCAGGAATGGAACCACAACCTTCAGTTGCATGGGACACCTCCAACCAACCGAGCCACGCTGGCCAGGGCAAAACATTTCTTAAATTAAAAGAACAAACAAACTGGAATAAGTCATATATTCACACGGTACAAAAATCAATAGTATATTAAAAGGTACACATTGAGAAGTCTCACCGCCCCCGTTGTCTTTAGATAATCACCACTTTTATTAGTTTCTTTATAGCCTTCTGGAATAAATATATGATCTAAATATATAATTTCTCACCACTTCTTATACAAACAGTAAAGTATTAAATACACAACTCTGTACTCCCCCACCTGTCTTTTACAGTACAGCCTAGACACCTTCCTGTACCAATATGTGGATAACTCTTCTTTAAACATATGCATAATATTCCATTGTGTGGATACACCATGTGTTGTTTTTTTAAAACAAATTCCTTTCAGATGGACTCTGTGATAATTTGCAAAAATTCTATTACAAAAAATTTTGTAATAGAGATGTGAATTTACCTGCATTGCACACACAATAAAATGCCCCATCTGTGTAGAATCAAGTTCCTAAAATTGAGATTGCTAGATTGAAGAGGAAATGCACTTGCAATTTGACCGATGTTGCCCAACCACCCTCCAGAAAGGTTAAATCATTTTGCACTCTCACCAGTAATGGATCAGAGTTCTAGTTTTCCAAAGTCTTGTCAACAGTGAGCACTGTCTAACTTTTGAATTTTTACCAACCTGACAGATGAAAATTGGTATCTCAATATGGTTTTCATTTGCATTAATTAATTTTCTGATGTAATTAAATTTTTATATTAATTAAAGATTGAGCAGCTTTTCATATGATTAAGGGCTAGTAGGCATTTTGAAAAGCAATTAAAATTTTTTTCCAGACACCAGAGCTATAAAAAATATAAGCAGCTTTTTTCCCCCAAGGAACTTTTGCTGGTGTTTTACTTGAATGACTTGACTTTTTTGTACCTTTTGAATTCTGAAGCACATTGTCATTACCTTCCCAAACTCAGTGTCTTAAGGTCTGATACTAGTATTTACTCCTTTTGTAACATCTCTCAAATTAACAGAGACTCATCGCTTAAGACCTCTAAAAACCTGGGCTGAACTGCTGTGGAACCAGCTCTCCCTCCCTCACAGAGCCGCGTGCTGTGCTCCAGTCTGTGGCTGACCGTCTGTTTTTCAAGGTGAGGGCCTGACTATGTGCAAAGCACCTTACGAAGAGGAGGACTGGTGCTACCTGTCTCTTCCTCATGTCCTGGCAGTAAGCATGTCACCCACTGCATACATAACTAAACGCATGGTTTCAGAAAAAAATGTTCTGATGTTTCATGGTTTCTTCTAAACAATTTTTTGTTTTTGTTTTCTTTTTCAAATAAATCTATACAAGAAACTCTGGTTAAAGCTGACTCCTGATGTGAACTGTACCAAGCATCACATAATTAGGAGTTAGACCTTATTTTCATGGTATTTGAAACTTCGTGTTATTTTCAATTCTAACTACCATTAATTACAGAAGCTTTACAAAAAGCCTTTTAACAAAAAAGACTTCTTAGAAGATACAGAACATGGATTAAAATTAATTTTAATTTTAAAACGCTATCAATTTTCTTTTTTAAAAATTCCAAAAATAATTAATGTTCATTGTAAAAAATTCAAATACCAGTAAATATACAAAGCCAAAGTACGAGGGACTCCTCTCTCCTCTCTATGCGCTCCAATTCCCTGGTGCAGACACTGCTTACAATTGCGTATATGCATCCTTCCATATAAATTGTGTGTACAGAATGTATACACACCATAAAAACAAAAACACACCTGTTCTTCCATAACTTGCTCTTTTTAAAAACTCAACTATGTATCAGGAGCTATTCTTTTCTATTGCCTTACATAGCTGGCCTTTTGCTATAAAATTAAGGCTTAAAAAAAAAAATCTAGGTTCAATGAACGCAACTTTTAACCAAATGAACATTGTTTAGTAATTCCCATTTCTGTATTAATGATAGCAGTATCTACCAATGTTTCACACCTTTTCATCTACCTTAACCTTCTGAATTAGGAGGGCTGATTATGCTTTCTAACCGCAACAGAAACAAATGGATGCCTTTGCCCATGCCTCTCTTTTTAGTCAATTTAAGATTAGTGAAGAAGAACTGCATCCTGTACTTTGGCAGATGTACTCTAACAACCCCTTTCTAGCCTACAAGGATTATAAAAACATTGATCTTGTATATAATATTACACTTTAAATGTGTATAAAAATTACTTCTGGAAAATAACATCTGCTTAACACATATTAGCACATTTGTTACTAACATCAAACAGGTTAGAATATTTTGTTATCCTAAAACAAACTTTATAATGTAGTTTCTCTTGGGGGAAAATTTACCAGGGAACCTTCTGCCACTTAAAATTTTCTAAGTTTAGGAACTTCTTGGCACAGATGCATTATATTTTATGAATCACTTAAGTTGATTTCATTAGAGGTTGTCTGTGTCAAGTTAAAGTAGAAATACACACACTTCACTATTAAGTCTTTAAAAAGCCCTGGAGACAGAAGGAACTATTTATTATAAGCTGATGATAAGCCTAGGATGTACCGAGAAACACAAGTTCTTCTCACACTAGCTGTCTTAATTAGCCAATAAATAATCTTCTGGATCATGTTGTGTATTTAATCAGTAGAAAGAGATAATTACAAAAAGAGCAAAGTTAAGTTTGAATGGAGCATGAATTCAAATGACTTACAGAGCTAAGCAGCCCAACATGGCAGCCACTAGCCCCATGTGCTTATTTAAATGAACTAAAATTTAAAATTCAGTTCCTCAGTTGCACTAGCTGAATTTCAAGTGTTCATCAGCTGGTGGCTACTGCATTAGATGGTCAGATAAAGAACACTTCCATCACTGCTTAAAGTTCCAGTGATTGCACTGACATACACCTATATGCAGCAGACCTTGAACAACACAGGTTTGAACTATGCATGTCCACTTATACACAGATATTTTTCAGTAAATAGACAGTCAACCATCTGTATCTATGGATTGCAAATCTGTGGATTCAACCAACCAGAGAT